TTTTTAGTTTTTTGAGGAACCTCCATACTGTTTTCCAGAGTGGCTGCACCAGTTTGCATTCCCGCCAACAATGCAAAAGAGATCCTCTTTCTCCACATCCTCGCCAACATCTGTTGTTGCCTGAGTTGTTAATGTTAGCCATTCTGACAGGTGTGAGGTGGTATCTCATTGTGGTTTTGATTTGTATTTTCCTGATGATGAGTGATGTTGAGCATTTTTTCATGTGTCAGTTGGCCATCTGGATGTCTTCTTTGGAGAAGTGTCTATTCATGTCTTTTGCCCATTTCTTCACTGGATTATTTATTTTTTGGGTGTTGAGTTTGATAAGTTCTTTATAGATTTTGGATACTAACCCTGTATCTGATATGTCGTTTGCAAATATCTTCTCCCATTCTGTCGGTTGCTTTTAGTTTTGCTGATTGTGTGCTTTTCCTTCTGCATGGAAAGTTCTTACCTTTATGACCACCACTTTATGTAAAATGATAACCCTTTCCCAGATAACATATGTATTCTCCCTATCCACCTCCTGTTTTATTTTTCCCTTTAATGATTACCACTATTTGGCATGTCACATATTTGATGTATTCATTTATGGTCTTCCCTACTAGACTATCACTCTATGAAGGCAGAGATTTTTCTCTGCCTTGCTCTCTGTTATTTCTCCAGCCCTAGAACAGTGCCTGGCGCATAGTGGGTGCTCAGTAAATATTGGTTGGATGAATTTGATTAATGCATTTCAGATGGCTTTCCTAAGGAAACCTAGCAGCCCATGTCAGTTGAGGGGCCCTGGTACAGAATAGGAATAAGGCAGAGGAGTCTTCAAACCTAAATCAGTGTGTCCAGATTTGCTTTATAAAATATATTGTTCTGGCATTGTTTATGAATTCAGTAACTCTTGAGTGTCTCCTGGAGAAAGGAAATCCCTGCTGGACACAAAGGACCCTGAGAGATCCTGTTCCTGTCCTGACAACTCATGGATAAGTGAAGGGTCAAACATTGAAGAACCGAACACACAACCTGGGAGTCACTCCTGATCCTTTCTTCAGTACCACTGCCCCCAGTCAGGTCCATTAACCCATCCTTTGACTTTACCTCCCAAACACATCTCCACCCAATCAAAATAAAACCCCTAACACCTTGGCAATACAGTTATAAATGCAAATGGGAAACTCCTAACTAAACTATTAGGAAATAACAAAAACAAACAAACAAACAAACAAACCTACATTTCCAGTCTGACCATTTCTCATTACCTCTGCTATTCAGGTTGTTATATCTATTACTGAGACATTGTGAGAGCTGCTTCCTGACCTCCCTGCTTCCACTCTTGTGGCCCTTACAAGAACAAGAACTTGGAGAGCACTTACTATATGCCAGGAACTGTTCTAAATGCTTCACATATAATAATGAGAATAATGACGACTGTGCAGAGCAGCCAGATGGCTTCATAAAGATCAGTTTATATCTGTGTTTAAATCCCATCAGGGGCGCCCAGGGGCTCAGTCAGTTAAATGTCTGACTCTTGGTTTCTGCTCAGGCCATGATCTCATGGTTTGTGGGATCGAGCCCTCTGTTGGGTTCCGTACTGACAGCAGCAGCCTGCTTGGGATTCTCTCTGCCCCTCTGCCACATGTGCACAGGGGTGTGCACCTACACTCTCTCAAAATAAATAAATAATTAAAAAAATTAAATAAATCCCACCAATGGCAATCAGGCTGTCCCTCACACAGGCTAACCCATTTCCATCTCTAGACTCACCTCGAGTCAGTTTTGCAGAAGCCACATAGTTAAGAGTTTGGCGAGGGGCTATTTCCAAAGGAGATTCAGGAGAAGGCAAAAGGAGAAGGAGAAACAAAGAGGGATGTGGCTGCCAGGGAATAACAAGAGCCTGCCAGGCAGCCAAAGGAAACATTCATTAGTTCTATTTTAGGCCCTTTCAGGCACGTATGAGAGTCATCTCTCATGGGGGACCTATCAGGAATTGGTTGGCAGTAAGAAAGTCACGAAATATTACTGGCTAAAAAAAAATTATGGAGATTATAGGATAGAGTGTGTTTAAATTATGCTGCAGTAACATGCAAAATCTCAATGGCTTACTACAGCAAAGGTTTATTTCTCACTCACACTATGTCCTCTGCAGACCATTTGTGGACCTACTCTACAATATCTTAACTGGGGCCTCAGGCTGAAGGAGCCTCTCCTACATGGAATATTGCTGGTCTTATAGGAGGGGGAAAAGAGAAAGGGAGAATCACCCATTGGCTCCCGACAAATTTTATATTTAGAAGTGGCCCAGGGGTACCTGGGTGGCTCAGTAAGTTAAGTGTCTGACTTGATTTCGGCTCAGATCATGATCTCACAATTTGTG